CTCTAGTAGAAAACGGAGGAAGGTTCAAACATGTTCGAAACAAGTTACAATCACAGGAAAAATATTCGGCATAATGAACCAAGGAGTCACTAGGAAATTTTTGGTTAGTTAAGATATTCCGGCCCGCGTATGGGTAAGGGGGCACTAAACATGAGTCAACCTTCTTCTTCTGGAAACAGGCCGCGACTGACTTGAAAAAGAAAGTTTGTCAGTGACGTCAGAGAAATGCGCGGGAAAACTTCAAATTCCGTTCTAGCTGGAATCAGGAGCAGCGAGCAACCTTGTCGGCAACAAACAGGCTGGTTTACTGCTATGTCTAGTCGAAAGTGAAAGGAAGGGGTGCAATCCGCGTACGCACGTAAAAATAGTTGGAATCCCTGGGCGATTCCACAGAGTAATGGATAGCCGAGTTCGAATTCCAGTCGAATCCATTACATTCACTTACGTGCTAATACCCTTGGGAAAGGTATGAATCCTCTTCTACCCCCCCCTCTAGCTATGGGTAAATAGCAGAACAGACCGGGTTCTATAGCTTTGGATGGCAACTGGTCTACCGCAGAAAGAAATGGCAACCTACTGCAGGGAAAAAATCTACTTGGTCAGTCATGTATCGAAAGATAAATGATCGACGAAACCTGTATCACGCATGGCATATAACTGACTAGGAGGCACAGATTTGAAATCAGCGAGCCGAGTTCGAATTCCAGTCGAATCCATTACATTCACTAACGTACTAATACCCTTGGGAAAGGTATGAATCCTCTTCTTCTCCACCCCCCAGCTATGGGTAAATAGCAGGACAGACCGGGTTCTATAGCCTTGGATGGCAACTGGTTTAAAGAAAGAAATGAAAACCTATTGCGGGAAAAAATATGCCTCGTCAGTTATATATTAAAAGATAAAAGATCTCCTAAGCGTGTATCACGCATGGGATATAACAAACTGACTAGAATCAGCATTATTCGCTTGACTCAGTCAGTTCATGACTCAGTGATTGGACTACGTTTGATGAACAATCTGGGTTGCGCTTTGAAATTTTGCTGTCAGAGCGTTTAGGGTACTGCACAATGTTCAGTGGCTAAACATTTAAATTTTTTAGAAGCTGTTCATATCTTCATTAACCGGCATTGTTACGGGCTGAAGGAGAACTTTCTTCGTTTTCTGTGTCTCGTCGGTGGGTAATTAGAACCATATTTGTTTCTGTTTTATGCTCACAAGGAACATTTTTACATCGATTTATTGTTTTAGTAGTAAATTTAATTTAGTTGAATTTCCTTATTTACCGACCATGGAGTTATTTTTTTTCTTTTCTTTTCGCAGCTTATGATTATTGTTTTTTTTTTTTATTATTTATTTGCTTTTTTTTCTGTAATTTTTTTTTTTTATCAGTGATTATATAATCTAAAAAAACAAATGAGAATTTTCATCGGACATTTATTCTTATACATATTTTAACAAACGAATCTCCTGCCCAGAAAGATCACGTTGGCTGCTTTACTTGTATTACAATGGCTTGCATGAATTTTAAGTCTTTTTATTTTTTCTTTAATTGAGCCCAATATAATATTTGGGTATTATCTATTAAAGTTTGTCCTGTGTTAATATTATTTTGGTTGGGGTTATTAATCGATATATCTAGCTAGCTTTATATATATATATATATATATATATATATATATATATATATATATATATATATATATATATATATCCCCTCTCTCTCTATTTATATATATATATATATTTATCGGTGTGTTTATATCTATCTATTTATCTATATATTTAGAAAATTTAGAAAATCTATCTCTCTCTATTTCTCTCTCTCTCTCTCTCTATATATATATATATATATATATATATATAAATATATATATATATATGTCAGTGTTTTTATATCTGTCTATTTATCTCTGTTCTAATCTCTCTCTCTCTCTATATATATATATATATATATATATATATATATATATAGTCAGTCTTTTTATACCTATCTATCTATCTATGCGCCTATGTATTTTTTCTTCTCTATATCTCTGTCTGTCTATCAATATAAATTGATAATAGATATTGAAGAAAATAAGCTATCTATCTATCTATTTATCTATCTATTTATTTATCTAGCTAGCTAGCTAACTAGCTAGATAGATAGATAGATTTGTTTGTGTTTGTTGTGTGTGTGTGTGTGGGTATATATATATATATATATATATATATATATATATATATATATATATGTGTGTGTGTGTTTATGTGTGTCTGTGTGTGTCTGTGTGTGTCTGTGTGTGTCCGTGTGTGTGTCTGTGTGTATGTATGTATGTATGTATGTATGACACCGACTTCTTTCAGAAGCTGCTTATTCCCAAGATATGAATATTTTTCATGGAAACTGAGTTGTTGTTTTGTTTTTCTGGTAATATCGAAAAGTTTAATGCTGCAAGCTGTTGACGGCTGCAGAAAGTTTGAAATTTAAGTGCATACTTTTTTTTTGAGTCAACAGAGAAAAACATCATTTTCACTCCAGAAGTATGTCAAATTATGCCTATATAGATCTCTACATATTTTACGTACACAGTCATTTTTTTTTTCATTTTAACATCCATCTGTACGGTCGGAGAAGAGGCTAAGCGGGTTCCTCAAAGAAATAAACATTAGAAAATTAGGTTCTTCGGGAAGTGTTGAAGAAATTTCTAGATAGGAGTTAATAAAACAGTAAGGGACGGAAAATTGTAAATTGTTTGTAAGTTTTGATTGGTAAATTAGAACAGGTCGATAACAATTAGTTTGAAAGCTGGGCTTCACATGAATAATAAGGGCACAAAATATTTGTTTCAAAATTGTTACCGAGGAATCGAGTTTAAGGTTTAAGTTTAGGTTCAAAATCTAAGAGTTTGAAATTCATTCAGGTGATCAGTGAAAACCTTATATATGGACAAGATGCATGGCACAGACATATTGTTACGTAGACATTGTGCCATCAAATAAGACCTTCATTTACTTTAAAACCATATTGCGAGGATATAAATTCCAGTTTGTTATCTGGAACGAGTATACCGTCTTTCCTGAGGACGGAAGTCTTTTTTTTTTAAAACCGGCTTGATTATAAATTTTTCTAACCCTGGTGTCGAGGTACAACAAACTCTTCCAAGTTCCCCTAAACCAAACACGGAATTGTAAGCTTTTGAAACTAACATGGATATTAGGGCAAATCGATTTTGGAACAATGGTATGGCACTCAGTTTGTAAGCTGGGGTTTCACATGATAAATAATGACACTAATTTTTTTTCCAAATTTTATGCCGTATTTATTTAGGAATTGGAATTTAAGGTCATGTTTAGGTTCAAAATCGTAACGTTGGAATTTCATTCTGGTGGTCAGTGAAAGCCTTATAGCCCGGCCTTATAAAAATTATAATTTACTGAAGCCTTACAAATTGTAGATGGGCAATATACATGGCACAAGCCCATTATTACTAAATCATTGTGCCATCAAATAAGACCTTCATTTATTTCAAAGGGAAATTATACTGAACAATTCAGCTGTATTATGATGTAATATGTTATAGAGTGTTGTAATTTTAGTGTGATTTTCAGTCAACAATTCAAATTTAAAACATCTTATAATTTATGCCGAGCAGTATAATGGCGTTCGATACACATTTATCTATTTTTTTAGCTTTATTAATTATGATCTAATAAATGATCTGACAAATTTTATTCACTGAGTAACTTTTTTTGGAATCTTTTTCAAATTTGTTACAGTTTTTACTTATCGAATATAAGTAAAACTACTACACATTTTGCTTGTGGTGATTGATAATTAGAATATTGGTTTGAATATATTTTCCATTCAATGCATCTAAATCAATTGTAAGTTTTGAATGATTAGGACAGGTCGATAAACAGTCAGTTTGAAAGCTAGGGTTCGCTGGCATAACAACGACACAAGACGTTTGTTTCAAAATCCCTACAGTTTTTTTGAGGAATCGAGTTTAAATTTTAAGTTTAGGTTCAAAATCGTAGAGTTTGAAATTAATTCCGGTGATCAGCGAAAGCCTTATATATGGACAAGATGCATGGCACAAACATATTGTTACGAAGTCATTGTGCCATCAAATAAGATCTTCCTTTCTTTAAAGGGAAATTATACTATGATATAATTATGTTATGATATAATATGTTCTACAGTGTAGTAGTTTTAGTGAGATTTTCAATAAACAATTCAAATTTAAAACATCTTATAATTTATGGCCAGCAGTATAATGGCGTTCGATACATATTAATCTACTCTTTGTTTTTATTATGATCTAACAAATCTTATTCATTGAGAAACTTTTGAGGAATCTTTTTACAATTTTCTTAGTTTTTACTTACGGAATAGAGTAAAACTACTACACATTTTGCTTGTGGTGATTGATAATTAGAATTCTGGTTTGAATATATTTTCCATTCAATGAATCTAATACAAAAGATATCAACTTTATTTGGATTTATTCTTGAAAAAATCAACTTTTGAAGTCGGCGTGTAAGCAATATACCTACGGAAATTGTGAATTTCTGTACATTTTTTTTCAGACGATATTTAAAACCAAATGCTCAGCAGTTGGTAGGGACAAAAAAGTCAACTTTTGAAGTCGGCAATGTGATTTTCCGAAAAGCAATATACTTAGAGGACAGTGAACAATGGAAATCGAAATGGACAAAATTTCTAGAAAGATCACTTTTTTTTTCAGACGATATTTAAAACCAAATGCTCAGCAGTTGATAGGGACAATTAATCTGAAAATGATTTTTGGAGATCAGATAGATAGATAGATAGATAGAAACTGAAAATATCACATGAAACCCCAGATTTCATTCTGAGTGCAATGTTGATTTTCATAGAAAAGATAGATAGTTGAAAAACATCAACATAGATAGATAGATAGATGTCCTGAAAATTCTTAGATAGGACAGTGAACAATAGGAGATGTAGATCGAAATGGACAAAATACTGAAAATTGCTAGATAGAAAGATCTGAAAAATGTTTGCATAGATTTAGATAAAGGATGTAGATAGATAGATAGATAGATAGAAATAGATAGATGATAGATAGATAGATACTGGTGTTTGCATAGATAGATAGATAGATAGATATGAAAATGTTTGATAGATAGATAGATAGAAACTGAAAAGAAAATGTTTGCATAGATAGATAGATAGATAGATACTGAAAATGTTTGCATAGATAGATAGATAGATAGATAGATAGATAGATAGATAGATAGATAGATAGATAGATAGATAGATAAATATAGATAGAAAAATACTGGAAAATGTTTGAAAGAATAGATAAAGAAACATAGATAGATAGGATAGATAGATACTGAAAATGTTTGCATAGATGAAAATGATTGAAAACATAGATAGATAGATAGATAGATGAAAAGATAGATAGATAGATAGATAGATATGAAAATGTTTGCATAGATAGATAGATAGAAACTGAAAATGTTTGCATAAAATGATAGATAGATACTGAAAATGTTTGTATAGATAGATTTACTGAAAATGTTTCATAGATAGATAGATAGATAGATACCCATAGATAGAAGATAGATAGATACTGAAAATGTTTGCATAGATAGATAGATAGATAGATACTATAGATAGATAGATAGATAGGAAAATGATAGGGATAGATACTGAAAATGTTTGCATAGATAGAAAATTTGGAAAATGTTTGCAAGAGATAGATAGATAGATACTGAAAATGTTTGGATAGATAGATAGATAGAAGAAAATGCATAGATAGATAGATAGATGATACTGAAAATGTTTTGCATAGATAGATAGATGATAGATGCATAGATAGATAGATAGATAGATACTGAAAATGTTTGCATAGATAGATAGATAGATAGATACTGAAAATGTTTGCATAGATAGATAGATAGATAGATACTGAAAATGTTTGCATAGATAGATAGATAGATAGATACTGAAAATGTTTGCATAGATAGATAGATAGATAGATACTGAAAATGTTTGCATAGATGATAGATAGATAGATAGCATAGATAATAGATAGATAGATACTGAAAATGTTTGCATAGATAGATAGATAGATAGAAAATGTTTGCATAGATAGATAGATAGAAACTGAAAATGTTTGCATAGATAGATAGATAGATAGATACTGAAAATGTTTGCATAGATAGATAGATAGATAGATAATGAAAATGTTTGAATAGATAGATAGATAGATACTGAAAATGTTTGATAGATAGATAGATAGATAAACTGAAAATGTTTGCATAGATAGAGATAGATAGATACTGAAAATGTTTGATTAGATAGATCGAAAATGTTTATAGATAGATAGATAGATACTGAAAATGTTTGCATAGATAGATAGATAGATAGATACTGAAAATGTTTGCAGATAGATAGAAATCTGAAAATGTTTGCATAGATAGATAGATAGATAGTGAAAATTTATACTGAAAATAGATTTATAGATCTGAAAATGTGTATAGATAGATAGAGATAGATGAAAATGTTTGATAGATAGAATAGTGATAGATAGATAGATATGAAAACAGAGTTTGATAGATATAGAAAATGTTTGCATAGATAAAAAAGATAGATAGATAGAAATAGATACTGAAAAATAGATAGATATAGATATTATCCCTCACCGTTGAAAAAGCATAGATACACAGAGTTAGAAGATAGATAGATGATAGATAGATAGAAATTGAAAAATAGATAGATTAGATAGATGCTGAAAAATGTTTGCATAGATAGATAGATAGATAGATTGAAAAACATAGAAATAGATAAATTGAAAATGTTTGCTATTTAAATTATGATAGAAATTGAAAATGGTAGATAGATAGAAATTGAAAATGTTTGCATAGATAGATAGATAGATAGACATCTTGAAAACGTTTCTAATAGAAAATCATTTCCATTTCGTTTGAAAGAAAATGTTTGCATAGATAGATAGATAGATAGATAGATAGATAGATAGAAATTGAAAATGTTTGCATAGATAGATAGATAGATAGATAGAAATTGAAAATGTTTGCATAGATAGATAGATGAAGAAGATGAATAAAACATGATAGGCAATAGATAGAATGATAGATTGCCACATGTTTTTGCAGGTAAGTAAATCTGAATATAAAGGTATTTTTCATTTTATTCTGGTGAGGAATAGTCTTCAACTTTCATATTATGGCTTATAGATCGAACTTATATTACTATTTAAATTATGTTATGGTCCAGCATGAGACGTTCTAATTGAAAATCATTTCCATTTCGTTTGGTAATAGCCCAAAGGACATTAGAACCAATAAAGAACAAAACTCGAACACGAAATTCTTCAACTTTATGGAATAACACAGATATATTAGAACAATAAAGAAGAAAACAGGAATATATACAGAGAAGTAGAAAGTGTTAGTACGAACAATCAGGTTTAGTAGTAATTGTCTGAACGTGACTCTGTTTCGGACTGCCTCTGACTCGACTGACTGACTCGCTCGCTCTGACTGACTGACAGACTTCTGACGGACCTCACCCCAGACTTCAGACTGAACGGTATTTAGTCACCCCCCTCCCACGAGGGCATCATGTGGCACAAGGCCGGTTTAACGTGGGATCTCCGAGCCCGTGGGCTCGGCCAAAAATATGCCCTTTGAACCCGTATAAACGGGTTCAGGGTCGGTTTACCTCCCCGAAAGAGACTCCGCCCTTCGGCGTAGCCTCGTTCGGGTTCCTCCCCGCCCGAAGGCAGAGAGTTCAACCGATCAGCCGATCAGCCGGTCGCCCGACTTCGGACTGAACTCCCTGCTTCCTCTTGAGGCGCAGTATTTATTACGTATGGAATAGTCCATTATGTTATTAGGGGTAAGGTCCCATAACAATTACATAGCAAGAGGCAAAGACACTTTGAACGCGCGGTTACTGAAATCAAAGTCAGAATTAATACGTTCTTATCCTCCCTGTGTCGTCTTCAATTGAAAAGTTAAAAACTGGTGTCATAAAAATCCAAGTGTCATTCTTCGTTCTTAAAATGGTCAAAATCTACCAACCGAAGGTGATTGTAGACATACCTCCTGCATTATTCCACCGGCAGTAGCTGTCGACCAATCCATTAACATGTCCAAAACAAGAAGCGGATGTGAGACAATTCTTAACATCGCTAGACTTGTATTGGTGCCAGTAAGTCGATAGGTTCCAAGAATGGTTTCTATTTTATGATATGTGTGCCTTCCGGAAAATATAACTAGATTTATCGATACTGTCCGGCAATTTATAAAATGGAAGATTTTATCGCCTCTACTTAGATTCGCGCACCAAAAAGAATTTGGGGATTTCCCTGGTGTATCCGACTCGACACTATTTGTCGGAGGTTTTACTCATATTTATTGGAATATCATGTCTCATCAAAAGAAAGATTTCACGTGACCTGCTCTTTCAGCCTTTCAGGAAGAACAAAAAACATGTATCACGTCAAAATGGTTGGTTACACAGGACAAATCTTTGGGCAAAAATAACGAGTCCCTTGTTAAAATCAAACTAAGATGATATCCTTGTCGAAATCAAAGAAAGATGAAATACTTGTCAGAATTAAACAAAGATGATAGCTTTGTCGCTATTAAACTAAGATGATATCCTTTGATATTAAACAAGGGTTATATCATTTTCGATATTGAACAAAGATGATATCCTTGTCGAAATGAAACAAAGATGAGATCCTTGTCGAAATTAAACAAAGATGATGTCCTTATCAAAATAAAACTAAGATGATGTCCTTATCAAAATAAAACTAAGATGATGTCCTTATCAAAATAAAACTAAGATGATGTCCTTGTCGAAATTAAACAAAGATGATGTCCTTGTCGAAATGAAACAAAGATGATGTCCTTGTCGAAATGAAACAAAGATGATGCCCTTATCAAAATGAAACAAAGATGATGTCCTTGTCGAAATTGGACAAAGATGATGTCCTTATCAAAATGAAACAAAGATGATGTCCTTGTCGAAATTAAACAAAGATGATGTCCTTATCAAAATGAAACTAAGATGATGTCCTTGTCGAAACTAAACAAAGATGATGTCCTTATCAAAATGAAACTAAGATGATGTCCCTGTCGTAATAAAAGATGAAATCCTTGTCGAAATCAAAAATGAAAAATCGGTAAAAGCACCTCAGGCTATATGACGGTACCGTATAGGATACAGGTTCGATTCCTGTCGGAGGACGCATATTTTCTATGACAATTTTCTTGGACATTCAGGCCGGTAAATGTTAATACTGTTTATTATAAACAGAGCATTTACTTAAATATTTGTATCTATAAAAAAAATAAGAAAAAAAATGTCTAAACATAAAAATGTCTTAAAATAAAATTTATATTAACATTTTTATTAACATCTGTCTATACATCTGAAATGAGGTAGTGTAATTATTTTCACTCCTGCCATCGTTCGGACTGATACCTTCATATTTATTGGCATATCTGCGACGTTTCAGCTGTTATCCACACCGGCCTTCTTCAGGTAATATACGTTGGAATTTCGAACGAAACTCTTTGTTATATAAAGTGTCACTGTCGTTGGAACATAGATCGCCAAACACAGGTGAAACGATCACCATTTGTATTCTATCCTCTATAACTATATGGTTCGTTATTTTCTATACTATTCCCTATTTCTACACTATTTCTCTATACTGATCACTATAGGGATTACTATTCGGATCGCTAATCGGTGGGGACTTTTTCGAGCGAGTATTATCGAGCAAGTACTATTAGTGCGAGTGTTATTCGAAGGCGTCTGACACCAGTATTGTTCAACGGCGTTATTATAGTTGTATCTGCGATTACAAAGTCTCTACTACAATGAGCATTACAAAAGTGACAACGACTATTCGTTGACATTACAAAAGTTGCAATTTGTGTTCGTTGACATCACAAAACAAGCACAAACAATAAAAAATTGCTTGTAGACTACCGCTCCTTTTAATACAAATTTGTTATATTGGAATAAAGTGTCGCTACCGACACTTGAGCTTGAACATAGACCGACAGTGAGCAAACACAGGCGATCTCATTATTGAATTAATTAGACTACGTGACCATAGAGGAAACGCATATATTGTGGGGGTAGCGTGACATCTAAACTACCGCCATTCCTAGTCTATCCCGGAATCGATCCTCCAGATCTACAAATCAACAATTCGCCCTTGCATGGAGTATAGCTGCCATATATGGTCTGGAGCCCCTTCTGTTTGCCTCGGGATTCCTGATAGGCTCCAGAGGCGGATATGCAATATAATTGGCCCTGTTCTGGCATCTCGTCTACAGTCACTCTCTCACAGACGCGCCGTCGAGTCTCTCTGTCTTTTTATACAAATACTTTCATGGTAATTGCTCCGATGAGCTGCATTCGCTCGTTCCCAGACTTCATGAGTTCAAGCGCCCTACGAGGCTGGCATCCCGCTCTCACCCTTTCACTGTTGAAACTCCTAAATGTAGCCGTCTCTTCTACTCCAATAGCTTCATGTCTCGCACTTCTTGCCTGTGGAACTCCATTCCCTATTCCAGTTTCCCTGAGAGCTATAATCTCCAACTATTCAAATGTAATATCAATCGACATCTCCAGTTGCCTTGATCTATCCACTACCCTTCTCCTCATCCTTTCCTCTATCACTCTTATCTGGTCTTGCTCCAAATTTTCTGTAACCCCTTGCGTCCTAGTGGCTTCTCGCCTTGCTTGGGATGAAACGCTTAAAAAAAATACTATACGGATCGCTACCTCTGCCCTATTCTCTATTACTAAATGGATCGCTATTCTCTACTCTATTCACTATACTATTTCTCTATTCAGATCACTATAAGGGTTACTTGTCGAGCGAGTATTATCGGGCAAGTACTATTAGTGCGATTAGTGATATTCGAAGGCGTCTGACACCAGTATTGTTCAACGGCGTTACTATAGTTGTATCTGCGATTACAAAGTCTCTACTACAGCGAGCATTAGAAAAGTGACAACGAGTATTCCTTGAAATTAAAAAAGTGGCAACAAGGGTTCAATGACATCACAAACTCTTTATTTAGTCCACGGCGGTAGATTGTTCTAATTCCACGTGCCATGCCTTATTTGGATATCTCAGTTTCGGTTAATTGCCTTTAGTAACTAAACTCTCCAAGATTTTGGTCCCGCTTTTGTGGGCAGGTCTTGAACTCACAATTCTTTGGGTCAAATCAATGTTTGGATCACTCAACCAACACTTTGATTCTTGAG